GTATCATAAGACTTAAAGAATCTTTGAGGGCAATTGGGAATATTTTGTTTAAACATAGAGCTATATACCATTCCCTTGTTAATATTAATTTCATCAGTAGATAAATCAGAAGATTTTTCAATGTTACAAAAGGCTTTTCCAATTTCAATATTATTAAGTTTTTTTTTTTTTTTTTGAAGTTGCAAAACTTAGACCAAAAATTGAGAAAGTTGTATCAAGCAAGTCCATTGTCGACAGGAATGTAATTGAATCTTGTTTTATAAAAAGCAGTTTTGAAAATAATATGAATATTTCCTTTGGTTTATATAAATTAAATTCATTTATAATTAATAAGATTTGGGAAGAATTTAATAATACATTGGACAAATAATAAATCTTAATTCTTGGGTAGAGTACTTGGGTTGGACAAATATTTTGTTAGTGGGATGTCGTGAAGGACCTGTCTAGTTGGGCCAGCGGGTCTGCTGCAGTGTTCCTCCTTTCTTATGAGTTGGGTGTCGTTGTGTGTCAAGTGTTGCTTTGTTGTGGGATGTGATGGTGAGGTGTGGTCTCGACTCTTTATATGCCTTCCTTTGATGTAATGTCTTTATAGTTCCTTGATAATGTGAGAAGTCATGAAAGCTCTTGGAATTTCACTATCCTTTCACAGTGGTTGTTTTGCATTATGTACAATGTTAGGTCTTTTCTGTATTAAGTGAAAGTGTGTAGGCTGTCACCCAAGTATAAATGTATTTGTAATGTATCATTTACCGTATTCTTTAACCCCTAAACTGTCCAAACGTAGCTCTATGTCCATGTGCGGGGGTCTCCGAACATAGATCTGCATTTTTTTTACATGCTTTCAAATGGAGAAAAATCAAGGTTGGAGCGCTACGCACGTGAACGTAGATCTACGTTTGGACAGTTTAAGGGTTAAGGTAATGGGATCAGAACTCGAGAAGATAAAATTAGTGTAATCTTTCAAGAGTATTGGTTTTAGTTGTGGGTGGTGTGCTTTTGTTAGGGATTCATTAACATACTGTGTGTGTTATTGTTACACCTGCCTTGATAAGATCTTTTGTATGCTGAAAGTCTGCACATATATTCTGGTGGCCTGGTGGTTAACGCTCTCGCTTCACACGGTGAGGGCCTGGGTTCGATTCCCAGCCAGAGTAGAAACATTGGACGTGTTTCTTTCCACCTGTTGTCTATGTTCCCCATCAGTAAAATGGGTACCTGGGTGTTAGTCGACTGGTGTGGGTCGCATCCTGGGACACTGACCTAAGGAGGCCTCGTCACAGACCGGGCCGCGGGGGCGTTGACCCCCGGAACTCTCTCCAGATAAACTCCAGATATATAGATTTGATAGTTTATTTGGCAACTGTCACAGGTCTACCTGTTCTGTTAGCTGCTTTGATATATTGATATTGGCAGTTTGGAGGGATATGTTGTGTATCTCTATACGTATATGCTTCTAAACTGTTGTATTCTGAGCACCTCTGCAAAAGCAGTGATAATGTGTGAGTGTGGTGAAAGTGTTGAATGATGATGAAAGTGTTTTCTTTTTGGGGATTTTCTTTCTTTTTTTTTTTGGGTCACCCTGCCTCGGTGGGAGACGGCCGACTTGTTGAAAAAAAAAAAAAAAATTATTTATGTTATTCTCTGTTGATTTTATGTTGGAATTCTCTGAGTGATGATGCTCGATGGTGTTTGTAGACACACTCCACCAGCTTATTTAGTGTTTCCATAAATGAATTGTGTTTCTGATGTGGTCTAAAGATCTTCTGTTAACCCCCAAGGCTCTTCATTTTCATTAGTGTGTTGTTGTGCGGCTTTTTTCTCTTGTATTTTTGTGGATTCTTGAGTAAGTTAGTCATGCAAGATTCTAACTGTTGTTGACATGCTGTTCGAGCGTTCTTGCTATTTATATATTTCTTGTTCTTATGGCTTGATGGAGGCCTGCAGTTTTGTACATAAAAACTTAAAAAATATTATTTAGTCACAGATAGTACAAATTATAATTTTTTTCTTTAACCCTTAACCCTTTGAGGGTTTCAGCTGTACTAGTACGGCTTACGACCCAGGGTTTTTGACATACTAGTACGCCTAAATTCTAGCGCCCTCAAATCTAGTGAGAGAAAGCTGGTAGGCATACATATGAAAGAATGGGTCTATGTGGTCAGTGTGTGCAGTATAAAAAAAATCCTGCAGCACACAGTGCATAATGAGAAAATGAACACTTTGACCATGTTTTTGGAATAAAACAGCGACTTTGCACTGTATTTTCGTATGGTATTTATTGTTGTATTCTAGTTTTCTTGGTCTCATTTTATAAAATGGAAGACATATTACAGAAATTGAGATGATTTTGACTGGTTTTACAATGAAAAGTACCTTGAAATTGAGCTCAAAGTAGCAGAAATGTTCGATTTTTACCAAAGTTCAAAAGTAGACAAATCATGCCAAGCGTCCAATACATGTCAACTGGTGAGTCTAATATTCTTTCACAAGTGCACTGATATTATTTATACCATTTCTACACTAATGCAGCAGTCTGCATAACAGTAAATCTTTTTTTTTTTGTAAGAATAAAAATTGAAAGTGGAAAGCCAAAGAAATATAAGAGGGGCCTGGGGATGTGACTACCGAACAGAGGAAATGTTACTTTAGTGCCAGGAATGTCTTTCTTGTTTATTCTGCGCCCTATTTAGAAATTGGCATCTTTTGAAATTTGTGTGAAATTGGCAAAATTGCTAAATTCTGACCACTGTAATGGATAGTTGAAATCAGTAAATGGGTGGTTTCTTGTACTCATTCAATAGAAAAAATAAAGTTCTAGAGAAATAGTTATGATTTTTGTCGACTCATACACTGGAATTGGCCGAAAATAGGGCTCAAAGTGGGCAAAATCGCCGATGGGTAAACATTGTCGAGACCGCTAACTTCGCGAGAGCATAATTCCGTAAGTTTTCCATCAAATTTCATACTTTTGGTGTCAATATGATCGGGAAAAGATTATCTATCTTTTCATATATTTTTTTTTTTTTTTTTTAAATTTGGCCAACCCTGAGAACAAGTCTTGGAGAGGGCTTGTCGACCCTCAAAGGGTTAAACTGTCCAAACGTAGATCTATGTTTGCACGCATAGCGCTCCAAACGTAGATCAACGTTTTATTTTTCATTCCTTCAAATTTGGCACAATAGGCTTGAGTCGCCTAGACATGAAATAATGGGTCTGTGCACTCACTGTGCACACTATTAAAAAAATCTGGGCGCACTTAGTACCTTGTGGGAGCACCAGTTCAATTGAGCGCCAGCTAGAGCAAATAACGTGGCAAACACCAGGGATTCACTGATGCCATGTCGCATTAACACTCCCATTTTAAGAGGTAAGTAAAAATAGGTTAGATAAATACATGAGTGAGTGTGGGTGCATGTGAGTTGGACCTGACTAGCTTGTGCTACTAGGTCTGATGTCATGCTCCTTCCTTCAATGGATGTGACCTGACTAGGTGGGTCATTGGTCTAAGCCAGGGGGGAATGTACTTGCCTTGCATGGGCTAGTAGGCCTAGTGCAGTGTTCCTTCTTTCTTATGTTCTTATGTATTCTGCAGGCTGGCCTGCTGGCTTGCTTTGGCTGTCTCTCTGTCTATATCTCTGTCTATATTCTCTGTCTATATTCTCTGTCTATATCTCTATATATCTGCCTATCTATATCTCTATCTATCTATATCTCTGTCTATCTATATCTATGTCTCACATGTACACATAAGTACAGTTATTATACATAGTGTAAATTACCTAGGATAATCCAAAAATTTCAGGCAAAGATAGACAGACAGATAGATAGATAGGCAGACAGACAGAGACAGGCAGACAGACAGAAACATGTTTGTGTGTATAAGTGAAAACAAAGCCAGGGTTCCCCCCGATCACCCATTTATCAAATGTCACCGAGCTGGTAACAGATGTCATAACACGATACTTCAAGGAGTGCGATACACATTTACCCCAGGCAGACAGAAAGACAGATAAGCAGAGACAGACAGACAGACAGTCAGGCAGACAGAGACAGATAAATAGATAGAGAGACAAGACATGTTTGTATGTAACAGTGATAACAAATACAGCGAGTGTTAGCTGGAGCAGTGGGGATTTATCAGATGTCACTAGGCTGTCAATAGTAGTGTATAGGGATGCCTTTCATAACATGCTTCAAGGTATATGCCAGGATGGAAATAAATGATATAAAATACCGACACAATGGGAATGTAAACACATATGCAGTATAATGTGATCTTTTATTGACAACATTTTGCCCACACAGTGGGCTTTTTCAAGTCACAAACAGATCTGTTTGTGACTTGAAAAAGGCCACTTTATGGGCGAAACATTGCCAATAAAGAATCACATTATACTGCATATGTGTTTATATTTCTATATATGCCAGGATATCTAAAACATTTCTGGTACCTATAAATACTTTGTTCATATTTCTAGACAATAATAAATAACCCAAGCAGGTGTAACTGTTCACTTGTCAATATGATTGTGACTATTTGAGTACGATTTCAGTACCTAATATTAGTGTCAGAACAAAGATTGGCTATGAACTTACCAGAACTATTATAAATTGTAATTTTTAGAACATAAAAAACATACTAATTAAAATAAAAACAAGGAAAAAGGTATATCAGCAACACTTCTGCAAGCAGCAGGAGTCGATGTTGCTGACAGGTGAGCATCCAGAGCCAACTTCACGGTCTTATATCTCGGTAAGTACTGACCCTAAATTTTTTTTAATCCTATGACATGTAGAAAAATGTGCTCTTCATTTTATAAGAAAAACGATTTTTTTATTTTTCAAAATATTCGGAGTGCCAGACAAGTGAATGTAGATCTACGTTTAGACAGTTTAAGGGTTAACATCCTAGAATGGCACATTAAATGCTTGAATTATATCACTTAATTTGAGTATTTTAGTAAAGAATGTGTAAATTAGAACAGAATTTTTTCTTGTAGGTTTCTCGAGTACAGTCAACTTCAGGGTATGATGACCTCCTACAGCTATGAGACTGAATTAGCGACACTGCAGGAAGTTATTCAGCAGAAGGTGGCAACTATGTTCTCAGATCCTTCAAATGTGGTGAAACGCACTCTGATGGAGAAGACCGTCACCAAACTTTGTGTGTTTTTTGGCAAACAAAATGGTAAATTTTATTGTGAGATTAGTTTTTATGTCATGGTTTTCTTATTCCAGGATTCCTTCAGCAATGTGTATTTAATTATTTAGTTAAATGTTAACAGAATTCTTCCTCTGTAAGCCATGCGTGTCGTAAGAGGCGACTAAAATGCCGGGAGCAAGGGGCTAGTAACCCCTTCTCCTGTATATATTACTAAATTTAAAAGGAGAAACTTAAGTTTTTTCTTTTGGGCCACCCCACCTCAGTGGGATACGGCTGGTACGTTGAAAGAAGAAAAGAAGAAAGTTTACAGTTGATATAGTGTAAGTAATTCTTGATCAAGTTATATCAAATACAGTGTATTCAAGTGAATTAAAACAAAAGCCCCCAAAATTTATCAGTTATATATTAATAATAATAATAATAATAATATTATTATTATTATTATTATTATTATTATTATTATTATTCTTTCAACAAACTGGCCATATCCCACCGAAGCAGGGTGGCCCAAAAAGAAAAACAAATGTTTCTCTTTTTAACTTTAGTAAAGTATACAGGAGAAGGGGTTTTTATTATTATTATTATTATTATTGATAAATTTTGGGAGCTTTTGTTTTAATTCACTTGAATTAACACTATAAATGAAGCTGTACAACCTTCTAACTGTTAATTAAACATGTATGGGCAATGTTTGCTACACGTTACTACCACTACTCCTGCCTCTACCATAATGACTCATGTGCTCACTTCAGATATTTTCAAATAATACTTAGTGCTCATTATAAAAATATTGCTCTTATGGACCTTGCTTAACCCTTTGAGGGTTTCGGCCGTACTAGTACAGCTTACGACCCAGGGTTTTTGACGTACTAATACGCCTAAATTCTAGCGCCCTCAAATCTAGTGGGAGAAAGCTGGTAGGCATACATATGAAAGAATGGGTCTATGTGGTCAGTGTACGCAGTATAAAAAAAATCCTGCAGCACACAGTGCATAATGAGAAAAAAAAAACTTTGACCGTGTTTTTGGAATAAAACAGCGACTTTGCACTGTATTTTCGTATGGTATTTATTGTTGTATTCTAGTTTTTCTTGGTTTCATTTTATAGAATGGAAGATATATTACAGAAATTGAGATGATTTTGACTGGTTTTACAATGAAAAATACCTTGAAATTGAGCTCAAAGTAGCAGAAATGTTCAATTTTTACCAAAGTTCAAAAGTAAACAAATCATGCCAAGCGTCCAATACACGTCAACTGGTGAGTCTAATATTCTTTCACAAGTGCACTGATATCATTTATACCATTTCTACACTAATGCAGCAGTCTGCATAACAGTAAATCTTCTATTTTTTGTAAGAATAAAAATTGAAAGTGGAAAGCCAAAGAAATATAAGAGGGGCCTGGGGATGTGACTAACGAACAGAGGAAATGTTATTTTAGTGCCAGGAATGTCTTTCTTGTTTATTCTGGACCCTATTTAGAAATTGGCATCTTTTGAAATTTGTGTGAAATTGGCAAAATTGCTAAATTCTGACCACTGTAATGGATAGTTGAAATCAGTAAATGGGTGGTTTCTTGTACTCATTCAATAGAAAAAATAAAGTTCTAGAGAAATAGTTATGATTTTTGTCGACTCGTGCACTGGAATTGGCCGAAAATAGGGCTCAAAGTGGGCAAAATTGCCGATGCGTAAACATTGTCGAGACCGCTAACTTCACGAGAGTATAATTCCGTAAGTTTTCCATCAAATTTCATACTTTTGGTGTCAATATGATCGGGAAAATAATCTCTATCTTTTCATAAGAAATTTGTTTTTTTTAAATTTGGCCGACCCTGAGAACGAGTCTTGGAGAGGGCCTGTCGACCCTCAAAGGGTTAAAAGTTTTGTACTATTATGACCCATGCAGGTTTAGTGCTTCTGGCATGAAAACAATTGAGTTAATGACAGTGAATGTGTGTGATCTTTTATTTTGGGTTACTCTGCCTCAGTGATGATAGCTTGTTAATAAAAATTTTAATTATATTACCAGTGTTTTTAATTTGGATACTTTTAAGTCTGGTAAATCCTGCACTGTAACAGTAAGTACATTCATCATGGGTTTGAACAATTCTTAATAAATAGATATCTTATAGTTTAAGGTATGCTCAATTAATTTTTAAAGATACCATACATTTCTAAACTGTTTACACTTATTTTTTACAGCAAATGATGTGTTGCTGTCTCACATGATAACATTTCTGAATGACAAGCATGATCGTCACCTGCGACTGTCATTTTTCAATAGTATTGTGGGTGTAGCAGCTTACATAGGGTGTCATTGTGCTGATATTCTCAAGCCTCTTTTGCTGCAGGTATGTTTTATAATGATAGAGTGGGAGAAGCACTGTCAAGAAATTTTACTGAGAGTAAGAAAAAATTTTGGAATGAAATAAACAAGTTAAGAAAGCCTTGGAAATGAATTGATTTGTCAGTTAAAAACAGAGTAGGGGAGTTAGTAAATAACAAAAAGGCACAATACCGTGACTGGAACGATACACAAATAACCCGCACATAAAAGAGAGAAGCTAACGACGACGTTTCGGTCTGACTTGGACCATTGACAAAGTCACACTCTCTTTTATGTGCGGGTTATTTGTGTAGGGGAGTTAGTAGATGGGGAGTGGAGATATTGGGTAGATGGTAGGAATATTTTGAGGAACTTTTTAAATGTCGATGAAGAGAGGTAGTAATTTCATGCACTGGCCAGGGAGGTATAACATCTTTCAAGACTGAAGAAGAGCAGGATGTGAGTGTGGGGGAGGTGCACGAGGCATTACATAGAATGAAAGGGGATAAAGCAGCTAGAATTGATGGGATCATGACAGAAATGTTAAAAGCAGTGGGAGATATAGTGTTGGAGTAGTTGGTATTTTTGTTGAATAAATGTATGAATGAGGGGAAAGTACCTAGGGATTGGCAGAGTGCGTGTATAATTCCTTTATATAGAGGGAAGGGGGACAAAAGAGATTGTAAAAATAAGTTTAATGAATATACCAGGTAAAGTGTATGGTAGGGTTATTATTGAAAGAATTAGAGGTAAGACGGAGAGTAGGATTACAGATGACCAAGGAGACTTTAGAATGGCTAAGGGATGTGTAGATCAAGTTTTTACATTGAGGCATATATGTGAACAGTATTTAGATAAAGGTAGGGAAGGTTTCATTGCATTTGTGGATTTAGAAAAGGCATATGATAAGAGTGGATAGGGGAGCAATGTGGCAGATGTTACAAGTGTATGGAGTAGGTAGTAAGTCACTAAATGCTGTAAAGAGTTTTTATGAGGATAGTGAGGATCAGGTTAATGTGTGTAGGAGAGAAGGAGATTGCTTCTCAGTAAAAGTAAGTCTTAGACAGGGATGTGTAATGTCACCATGGTTGTTTAACATACTGTATTTATAGATGGGGTTGTAAAAGAAGTAAATACTAGGTAGTAGGTTGGCAGACAGCAACCGCCCAGGGAGGTACTACCATCCTGCCAAGTGAGTGTAAAACGAAAGCCTGTAATTGTTTTACATGATGGTAGGACTGCTGGTGTCCTTTTTTTCTATCTCATAAACATGCAAGATTTCAGGTACGTCTTGCTACTTCTACTTACTTGAGGAACTTTTAAATGTCGACGAAGAAAGGGAAGCGGTAATTTCATGCACTGGCCAGGGAGGTATACCATCTTTTAGGAGTGAAGAAGAACAGGATGTGAGCGTAGGGGAGGTGTGTGAGGCATTACGTAGAATGAAAGGGGGTAAAGCAGCTGGAACTGACGGGATCATGACAGAAATGTTAAAAGCAGGGGGGGGATATAGTGTTGGAGTGGTTGGTATTTTTGTTTAATAAATGTATGAAAGAGGGGAAGGTACCGAGGGATTGGCAGAGAGCATGTATAGTCCCTTTATATAAAGGGAAGGGGGACAAAAAAGATTGTAAAAATTATAGGGGAATAAGTTTACTGAGTATACCAGGAAAAGTGTACGGTAGGGTTATAATTGAAAGAATTAGAGGTAAGACAGAATGTAGGATTGTGGATGAGCAGGGAGGTTTTAGAGTGGGTAGGGGATATGTAGATCAAGTGTTTACATTGAAGCATATATGTGAACAGTATTTAGATAAAGGTAGGGAAGTTTTTATTGCATTTATGGATTTAGAAAAGGCATATGATAGAGTGGATAGGGGAGCAATGTGACAGATGTTGCAAGTATATGGAATAGGTGGTAAGTTACTAAATGCTGTAAAGAGTTTTTATGAGGATAGCGAGGCTCAGGTTACGGTGTGTAGAAGAGAGGGAGACTACTTTCCAGTAAAAGTAGGTCTTAGACAGGGATGTGTAATGTCACCATGGTTGTTTAATATATTTATAGATGGGGTTGTAAAAGAAGTAAATGCTAGGGTGTTCAGGAGAGGGGTGGGATTAAATTATGGGGAATTAAATACAAAATGGGAATTGACACAGTTGCTTTTTGCTGATGATACTGTCCTTGTGGGAGATTCTAAAGAAAAAATCCCTCTTCTCCTTTCCTCTTTAATTTTACTCCTTTGAATTGTCTTTCTTCTGCCTTGTGTATTTGTTCCTTCATTATTTATTTTTTTCCCCCTCTGTGTTCTTGCTCTTACCCTCTGTCGACACCTAGCTCCCTTTTGCAGTGCTCCTCTTTCTTAGTATTTGACTGGCTCCTCCTCCTCCTCCTCCTCCTTATTACCTTCCCCACTACTACTACCTTCTACCACCACCACCGCCGCCGCCGCCGCCTCCTCCGCCGCCGCCTCCTCCGCCGCCTCCTCCACCGCCTCCTCTGCCGCCTCCTCCGCCGCCTCCTCCGCCGCCTCCGCCGCCTCCTCCGCCACCTCCTCCGCCACCTCCTCTGCCACCTCCTCCGCCACCTCCTCTGCCACCTCCTCCGCCACCTCCTCTGCCACCTCCTCCGCCACCTCCTCCACCACCTCCTCCGCCACCTCCGCCACCTCCGCCGCCTCCTCCGCCGCCTCCTCCGCTGCCTCCTCCTCCTCCTCCTCCCTCTCTCCTTCTCGTTTGTGTGAAACATTGTCGTAAGCCCCTCTCTTCTATGTGCGGGTTATTTGTGTATATACGTATATGCTTGTACATGCATGTGTAGCATGACCTAAGTGTAAGCAGAAGTAGCAAGACATACCTGAAGTCTTGCATGTTTATAAGACAGAAAAAAGAACATAAGAAATGAGGAACACTGCAGCAGTCCTGTTGGCCCATACTAGGCAGCAATCTTACATTCACTTCATCCTTTATAAATCCATCTGCTGACAAGTCTACTCCCAAGTATCTGAACACATTCACGTCTTCCATATTCCCTCCCTCCTATGTGATATCCAATTTTTCTTTACCTAACTTGTTTGATACTCCTATCATTGTTCACTTTCAACTTTCTTCTCTTACATATTTTTTTTTTTTTTTAACAAGTCAGCCATCTCCCACCGAGGCAGGGTGACCCAAAAAGAAAGAAAATCCCCCAAAAGAAAATACTTTCATCATCATTCAACACTTTCACCTCACTCACACATAATCACTGTTTTTACAGAGGTGCTCAGAACACAACAGTTAAGCATGTACGTATAAAGATACACGACATATCCCTCCAAACTGCTAATCTCCGGAACCCCTCCTTTAGAGTGCAGGTATTGTACTTCCCATTTCCAGGACTCAAGTCCGGCCATATAAAAATAACCGGTTTCCCTGAATCCCTTCACTAAATATTACCCTGCTCACACTCCAACAGATCATCAGGTCCCAAATACCATTTGTCTCCATTCATTCCTATCGAACACGCTCATGCACGCCTGCTGGAAGTCCAAGCCCCTCACCCACACAACCTCCCTTACCCCTTCTTTCCAACCTTTTCGAGGACGACCCCTACCCCGCCTTCCTTCCCCTACAGATTTATACACTCTCCATGTCATTCTACTTTGATTCATTCTCTCTAAATGACCAAACCATCTCAACAACCCCTCTTCAGCCCTCTGACTAATACTTTTATTAATCCCACACCTTCTCCTAATTTCCACACTCCGAATTTTTTGCATAATATTTACACCACACATGTGCCCTTAGACAGGACATCTCCACTGCCTCCAACTGCCTCCTTGCTGCTGCATTCACAACCCAAGCTTCACACCCATATAAGAGTGTTGGTATTACTATACTTTCATACATTCCCTTCTTTGCCTCCATAGATAACGTTTTTTGTCTCCACATATACCTCAACGCATCACTCACTTTTTTCCCTCATCAATTCTGTGATTATCTTTATCCTTCATAAATCCATCCGACGACACGTCAACTCCCAAGTATCTGAAAACATTCAGTTCTTCCACACTCCTCCTCCCCAATTTGATATCCAATTTTTCTTTATCTAAATCATTTGATACCTTCATCACCTTACTCTTTTCTATGTTCACTTTCAACTTTCTACCTTTACACACACTCCCAAACTCATCCACTAACCTTGGCAGTTTTTCTTTAGAATCTCCCATAAGCACAGTATCATCAGCAAAAAGCAACTGTGTCAATTCCCATTTTGTATTTAATTCCCCATAATTTAATCCCACCCCTCTCCTGAACACCCTAGCATTTACTTCTTTTACAACCCCATCTATAAATGTATTAAACAACCATGGTGACATGACACAACCTGTCTAAGACCTACTTTTACTGGAAAGTAGTCTCCCTCTCTTCTACAAACCCTAACCTGAGCCTCACTATCCCCATAAAAACTCTTTACAGCATTTAGTAACTTACCACCTATTCCATATACTTGCAACATCTGTCACATTGCTCCCCTATCCACTCTATCATATGCCTTTTCTAAATCCATAAATGCAATAAAAACTTCCCTACCTTTATTTAAATACTGTTCACATATATGCTTCAATGTAAACACTTGATCTACATATCCCCTACCCACTCTGAAACCTCCTTGCTCATCCACAATCCTACATTCTGTCTTACCTCTAATTCATTCAATTATAACCCTACCATACACTTTACCTGGTATACTCAGTAAACTAATTCCTCTATAATTTTTACAATCTCTTTTGTCCCCCTTCCCTTTATATAAAGGGACTATACATACTCTCTGCCAATCCCTAGGTACCTTCCCCTTTCATACATTTATTAAACAAAAATACCAACCACTCCAACACTATATCCTCCCCTGCTTTTAACATTTCTGTCATGATCCTGTCAGTTCCCGCTGCTTTATCCCCTTTCATTCTACGTAATGCCTCACACACCTCCCCTACACTCACATCCTGTTCTTCTTCACTCCTAAAAGTGGTATACCTCCCTGGCCAGTGCATCAAATTACAGTTTCCCTTTCTTCGTCGACATTTAAAAGTTCCTCAAAATATTCTCGCCATCTATCCAAAATCTCCATCTCCCCATCTACTAACTCCCCTACTCTGTTTTTAACTGACAAATCCATTCATTCTCTAGGCTTTCTTAGCTTGTTTAACTCACTCCAAATTTTTTTCTTATTTTCATTAAAATTTCTTGACAGTGCCTCTCCCACTCTATCATCTGCTCTCCTTTTGCACTCTCTCACCACTCTCTTCACCTTTCTTTTACTCTCCATATACTCTACTCTTCTTATAATACTTCTGCTTTGTAAAAACCTCTCATAAGCTAACTTTTTCTATTTTATCACACCCTTTACTTCTTCATTCCACCAATTACTCCTCTTTCCTCCTGCACCCACGCTTCTATAACCACAAACTTCTGCCCCACATTCTAATACTGCATTTTTAAAACTATTCCAACCCTCTTCAACCCCCCCACTACTCATTCTTGCACCACCCCACCTTTCTGCCAATAGTTGCTTATATCTCACCCGAATTTCCTCCTCCCTTAGTTTATACACTTTCACCTCCCTCTTGCTTGTTGTTGCCATTTTCCTCTTTTCCCATCTACCTCTTACTCTAACTTGAGCTACAACCAAATAATGATCCGATATATCAGTTGCCCCTCTATAAACGTGTACATCCTGGTGCCTACCCATCAACTTTTTATCCACCAATACATAATCTAACAAACTACTTTCATTATGTGCTATATCATACCTTGTATATTTATTTATCCTCTTCTTCATAAAATATGTATTACTAATTACCAAACCTCTCTCTACACATAGCTCAATTAAAGGCTCCCTATTTTTATTTACCCCTGGCACCCCAAATTTACCTACTACTCCCTCCACAACATTTTTGCCCACTTTAGCATTGAAATCCCCAACCACCATTACTCTCACACTTGGTTCAAAACTCCCCACTCAACATTTCCCAAAATCTCTCTCTCTCCTCTACACTTCTCTCTTCTCCAGGTGCATATATGCTTACTATAACCCACTTTTCACATCCAACCTTTATTTTACTCCACATAATCCTTGAATTAATACATTTATAGTCCCTCTTTTCCTGCCATAACTTATCCTTCAACATTATTGCTACTCCTTCTTTAGCTCTAACTCTATTTGAAACCCCTGACCTAATCCCATTTATTCCTCTCCACTGAAACTCTCCCACCCCCTTCAGCTTTGTTTCACTTAAAGCCAGGACATCCAGCTTCTTCTCATTCATAACATCCACAATCATCTCTTTCTTATCATTCGCACAACATCCACGCACATTCAGACTTCCCACTTTGACAATTTTCTTATTATTCTTTTTAGTAATTATAACAGGAAAAGGGGTTACTAGCCCATTGTTCCCGGCATTTTAGTTGACTTTTACAACATGCCTGGCTTACGCAGGAAAGATTCTTATTCCACTTCCCCATGGATATAAAAGGAAAAGTAATAAGACCAAGAACTATTAAGATAAAATCAAAGAAAACTCAGATGAGTGTGTATAAATAAACATGTATGTGTAGTGTGACCTAAGTGTAAGTAGAAGTAGCAAGACGTACCTGTAATCTTGCATATTTATGAGACAGACAAAAGACACCAGCAATCCTACCATCATGTAAAACAATTACAGGCTTTCGTTTCACACTCGCTTGGCAGGACGGTAGTACCCCCCTGGGTGGTTGCTGTCTACCAACCTACTACCTCAAACATGTACATATACTATACTGTATACATATACATATACTAGGTTAAATTAGTGCCAAGACAGAGAGATCCATCTTAATCTAAACTAAGGGTAGCCCCGGTCAGTCACTTTCATGTGATCACATTTTGATATACAAAATAGCTTTTAAAGTTACGTTTATTTTAGTTGTGATGCCTGTAGGATTAGCATGAACCTTTCCATAGCTTGGCTGATGACAAACTGGATTTTAGTTTCTTGGAAATAAGAGGTTAAAGGCATCTCGTCCTCTTAAACTATTTACAGTGCTTAGCATAACAGTTCCAAAGTTTTATGTCCTTCAAGGAATTTGCACAATATTCAAATAGAAGAATAAGTGCTGTGTTTAGACCTAAATACAGAAGTTGGATAGACTGTTGTAGATGGCATAGCAGGTAAGTTTGGAGTACTAGGAATAAATATTAACGGGGGTCTTTTATCAAGTTATATAGGGAAATAGGTTTGATAATTGGTAATACTGTGGTTATTTTAAGGAAATAAGGATAAATTAGTTTATGAGATATGGTGCATAATGACAGCAGTTTGCTATACTGTGTATTAGTAGATAAAACAGTAGATTTTTGGGTGTGTATGATTTTAGATGACTAACTGATATGTCATATAATTATTTACTGGTAAGTTGAATGTAAACACTTTTGAAAGTTACCATTAGTGCTAGTTAGAGCCACTGTTGTTGGCACTTGAAAGTACCAGTAGTTTCACATTTGTAAACAAATTATCAAAGGAAATGATGCCAATGAAACAAGAAAATCAGACTCAGTAATGTCTGTCCAGTTATTTTAAAAAATCTCTCCAATTTCTGTATTGTAGCTTATTCATATACTATAATTTGGATACATCAATGCATGCAGCATTGCAAATCTGAACAATATCAACATATATGCTATATAAGGAACTTTCTTTAACATATAATTTTAGGAAGTTTCACAGCTATTATGCCATATTTGGGATAAGATACGTATAGGACCCATGCATTTTACAGGGGCTCAGTGATGCAGAGGAATCTGTGGTTGTAGCAGCCATAGAAGCCATGACATCACTGACAGAGCTGGGTCTCTTTCCCACCCATCTGCAGTGTGACCTCTTAGCCCATACAGCACCACTTCTCATACACCCTAACCTTTGGATACGACAAGTAAGTTCATCTTACACTAAACTTTATGGGAGGGAGAAGAGCACTGAGAATCTTAATATAATACTGCTGTTTCAACATTCCTAGTAGTCAAAGGAATTAGGGATTATTCTGAATGTAGGTAAATATTAGCTAAGCAAGTTTAAATGTGTTTGTCAAGAGTTTCATTGTAGTAGAGAAGAAAAATCAGAAGAGAAAATATAAGAGTATTTTATAGGCCTCTCACAAAACATGAAGTTCCTCTGATCTTACACTTGATAAGCTAGTAACAGATTGTTAACATGTTATTTTCTTTAGTCTTACTTGCTAATTGTATAGTTTTTAAATAATTTTTTTTAGGAAATTCTATAGGTAATAATAAAAATACCCAGTTCTAACAGAGCACAAATAATGATAAAACAATACTTTATTTACTATGCAGGTGATTTACTTTTACAACATTAGTTGTTTCCTACCAGAGGGCAGCACCTTAGCAAATGATGCTCATCTGTCTTGCATGTAAAAATACTAAATAAAAATATATTTAGAGATTCAATTATCGTTGTGGTCTTGCGAGTCCATGTAATTGACCAAAAATGTAACATTTGTGTACTTTATCAACATTTTCACATGCATTATCAGCATTTTCATATACAGTGGTACCTCGAATTTCGAACAGCTCCCAACTCGAACAATTATGTAAGTGTATGTTTGTAAGTGCTTTTGTAAGTGTATTTTTGGGGGTCTGAAACAGACTAATCTAATTTACATTATTCCTTATGGGAACAAATTCGTTTGGTAATGGCACTTGAACAGCCTTCTGGAACGAATTAAGGCTGAAATTTGAGGTACCATTGTGCCTTGTCGTGTTCTTATACTTTATCAGTGTGTTCACATTATCAGTGTGTTCATATATTTTATCAGCTTGTTCATATACTTTATCATTGTGTTCATATACTACTCTTGAAATCACAAACTTACACAGTTTAACTACATTATTCAGATTTATTATCAACTGCAAAACCAAACTGGATGAACCATTTAGCTATCACTCACTTCTAGATGTCCACACTCAAACCCTGTTTAATATATTGCCCACGAAAGAAATCATCAACATTTTCTCATTTACTTAGTTTTACACAAAAAAAGTATTATTAAAAGGAGAAATGAAACAATGAACTTGAAACTTAAAGCTAATGGTGGAATGACCGCTTGTTGGTGACCCTGTGTTGGGTCATTCCACCATTAGCTTTAGTTCCTTAATGCCTGAAAACATACTATTAGAGACAGTCTTGAATTAATCACAACTCAGCTGGCTATTTCACAGTTATATCATCTTGCTAGGGCCAAAACAGAAACCTTCTCTTCCATACTAAGATTGCAGTTCCCACTATGATCACTGATAAGCAAAATATTAACTGTCAAACAGGGAAGTCCAAACTGGGGGTTAAGAGAGCAAGAAAATGCAGTTTTCTCCAGCTCCATCGAGGTAACTGTGTGCAAGAAATAAGGGGAAATCACTTTTAGTATACGTATGTTAGCTGCTTGACATGTGATTATCCTTAGTAACAATGCCTATAGGCTGTATGCACAAAAGGAAATGACAAAACATTGATAGTCATTGATGTACAGTAGGGCCCCACTCATACGGCAGGTTAGTTTTGGTCATATATGTAATTTTAAATTGCTGTGTTAGTGGAACGCTGTAAAGTGGGGCCCTACTGTATGTTGCAGTTTTCAGCTTGACTGTTTGTGGGCACTGTTTACATCCATATCCTGCCCCCACCTTTCTTCCACAACCTGGCTGGGAAAGTTGTGCTTTGGCGGGTCATCATTGAACCATGATATTTTTGCCATAAGTGGAGAATAGCTAGGGACACATGACAGTGAATGAGTTTTCTTCTTTGAATCAGCCTTTCTTGGTTGGTAAATGGCTGATCTACTTAAAAATGTACTCTCCTCTAAATATACTATATGTATAATATAGAGTACAGTGGACCCCCGCATAACGATTACCTCCGAATGCGACCAATTATGTAAGTGTATTTATGTAAGTGCGTTTGTACATGTATGTTTGGGGGTCTGAAATGGACTAATCTACTTCACAATATTTCTTATGGGAACAGATTCGGTCAGTACTGGCACCTGAACATACTTCTGGAGTGAAAAAATATCGTTAACCGGGGGTCCACTGTATTCATTTTATCATTTTTATTTTCATGTCCTTTTGCATAAAGTACAGTATTGATATATTTTAATGTATTTTATGCCTCATTTTCATGTCGTTTTGCATATAAAGTCCTATTTGCAAATTGCAGGCTGTTGTAGGACTGGTGAGTGTTGTAGCCAGGCTGCTGCCCCTAGTGGATGTACAAACAGCAGTTGTGGCCAGGGTACAGCCATTCCTCGTGAAACCTCTACTTCAGTTACACCGAGAGGTGAGTACATTTTACTAGAGATAGAGGTTGTGTTGAATACCGTTTTCATGCAAATGTGTTAAAAATGTTAAGTAAAGGTTTTCCACCTTTATTTACATGCTAGTAGCTGGTACCTACATTAGCTCATTTAAAAGCATTCCCTAACATTATCTTTTTATAAAATCATTATCAATATAAAATATAAAAATAGGGAAAAGGATGAAGTTGTAGCCAGCTGTGGGTCAGAGATTTCATTTGGTCATTTGGCTTTAATTCAGTAATGTTTGTATACTGTTAATACATATTTCAGAATTGAGTCATTCGAGGAATGAATGATTGCAAATGAAGTGATGTCTTTGAGAAGGGTATAGCCAGAGTGTGACTACTGCTTGTTGCCTGTCTTGTAGTATAAAAGCTGTTTTTTCATGGTTTTCAAAATGAAGCCAAGTGTGTTACTTTGACAACATTGGCCTTGTACATAACAGTAAGGCTACCCACATCCATTCTGAGTCCAGGAGAGAGATAAGCCATCTTGAATGGTTCTCTAGTCTCTCCAGAAGTCATAGATGAGACAGGTAGCAGACAGTTCAAGAAAGTGGTGCATATTCAAGGTGTGAGTGCACTTCTGCCTTATACAGAGTTTTACAGCCTTTGCTGTTGAGCAGGTTGATATAGCTGTAAGCTGGTGATTAATATATCTTGAGATCAATTGGCATTGCCTCGCTTGCATAAATAAATGTTAAAGTACAGTGGATCCTCGACCAACGATATTAATCCGTTCCTGAGAGCTCATTGTTAGTCGAAATTATCGTTAGTCGAGTTAATTTTCCCCATAAGAAATAATGGAAATAAAATTAATCCATTCCTGACACCCCAAAGTACTGAAAAAAAAAATTTTTACCACTTGAAATATTAATTTTAATACACACAAACTGAAGAAGACATGTACAGTTACATGACACTTACCTTTATTGAAGATCTGGTGATGATTGATGGGATGGGAGGAGGGGAGAGTGTGGATGGTGTTAGTGTTTAGAAGGGGAATCCCCTTCCATTAGGACTTGAGGTGTCAAGCCCCTTTTCTGGGGTTACTTCCCTTCTTCTTTTAATGCCACTAGGACCAGCTTGAGAGTCACTGGACCTCTATCGCACAACATATCTGTCTATAGAGCTCTGTACCTCCTGTTCCTTTAAGACTTTCCTAAAATAGGCCATAACATTGTCAGTGTACAGGTTGCCAACACGGCTTGCGGTAGCTGTGTCAGGGTGATTTTCATCAAAAAAGGTTTGCACTTCAAGCCACATTGCACACATTTCCTTAATCTTTGAAGTAGGCAACTTCTTCAATTTCTCTATCCCCTCCTCCAGAGCAGTTTCCTCAGGCCTGGCCTCTTGCTGTTGAAGATGATCTAGCAGCTCATCAGTGGTTAGTTCATCATTGTTGTCCTCCACCAACTCTTCCACATCCACCCCACTAACCTCCAACCCCTTAGCAATGATCTCTTTCTTCATATCCATAGTAATTTTCACCCTTTTTGCTGTAGGGTTGACACTAGAAGCTTTCTTGGGGCCCATGGTGACTTATTTTGCAGGTGCATTCACTAAAAACGCTGTGATAATATGAAATGTTCCGATTGTATGTTTGGATGGGACCGCGGTGGCTGGCTGGCTTGTAAACACTGGCCACAAGTGGACGCGTCTCGAACGGAACGAATCATGTTGGTCGAGTTTTTTAGCGTTAGTCGAGGCAAAATTTTTGCTTTAAAATGTATCACTAGTCGGATTTAACGTTAGACGATGACATCGTTGGTCGAGGGTCCACTGTACAGTTATCTGCATAGTCATAGGATTGTGGGATGAGATGAAGTAGTTCACTGAAGTAGACATTCCATAACTGTGGATTAAGCACTCTGAGTGGTTTGTACACTGCTCCAGTGAGAATTATTCAGAGATCTGTCTTGAGAGGATCACTAAGGAGGTGTAGTACAGAGCCAGAGACTCTAAGTGCTTGAAATTTTCCAACATTTAAAAAAAAAAATTATTGTTAATGTAGTTTTTATTAGAATTTATTTTAGTGTGTTTAACAAGTTTCTTTATTTCATGAGGTGTGTGTTCTGTCATACTTGCGGCCACCTATCTCAAGGGAAGTGTATGATGCGTTGGTCAAAAGCTCAGATGTTGGCCAGATGCTTTCACTGCTTCAGGAAGCTCGGCAGCAAAGTGTTCCTTTGACACAGCTCCCTTCTAATCTCTCTCACCTGGATCATCCTACTAGAAATGTAAGTGTCAATTATTATTTGCAGAACATCTATAGTTGAAACATTCCCTGCAATGCTTCAGAAAAGTTGTAGGGGTCATCCTAGGAAAGGATGGAGGGAGGATGTAAAGGTTTTTGTGTGCAAGGGGCTTGGACATATGGCAGGCATGTGTGAGCATGTTAGATGGGAGTGAGTGGAGTTAAATGGTTTTTAGGACCTGACGAGCTGGTGGAGCATGAGCAAGGTTAATATTTTGTGATGGAATTCAGGGAAACTGGTTAGCTGGACTTGAGTCCTGGAAATGGGAAATACTGTACAGTGCCTGCACTTGAAAGGAAGGGTTTGGGATATTAGTTGTTTGGAGGCACATCTGAACTATTATATTTGTACACCTCTGGCAAGACTGTGAATGGTGTGAAAGTGTTTTTTTTGGGTCACCCTGTGTCAGTAGGAAACAGTGTGTTAAAAAAAATAACTTTTCTTTCAAGGAATGGGCATCATATGGCCTTGAGACCTTGCATGTGCTAATCCTCTCCTCTAGCAACTTGACCATGAAGTCTTCAGGAAGATTGTCAGTGTTGTCCCAGGTCCTGACATCTGTTGTCTCAGCTGTAACTTTATATAGCAATAGTTGATCTAATCAGATACAGCACATACTAGGCCTCGGGTTCAAATCTCACCATTCCTTTAAAAAATTAGTCACATATCTAGATAGGGTTGCACTTTAAAGAAAGGTACAGTAATCTGTTATACTTTTTCCATTCTACTTTGAATTTGATAGATGGTATTAGTAGGTCAAGTTAAAGAATGTAGTAAAATCATCCCATGTTTCTTCCCAGACATTAAATACGTATTCTACATGTCACGACTGGCAGTTTGATTTTGGGAAGTATATTTGAATAAAATTAGTTAACACTAGTGAGAGTGGGCTTCCCATGAGAAGACGATGGTGGAGACAAAAAGTTTGGTGAGCACATTATTTTCTGTATCAGAATATGGGTTATTTGTAAATTCTGAGTACTGTATACAGTAATTGCAGTTACAGTGTAGTATGCCATTAATATACAGTGCAGTACAATCTTATACACTTGACCTAAGTCTTCAGTGCTTTTATAATTCACAGAATGAGAGCATTTTTGAAATCTAGCAAATATGGGTGTACTACATAATAAAAATATTCTAACAAATAATTTTTTATTTTATAATGATGACAATGTTTGTGCAAAACATTTTCTGCTGTGGAAGCCCCTAGGACCCATCTGAATTATGTTATGCCTTACTCATTTCATATTTGCCTCTCTAAGTCTCAGTAAAGTTCATTGCATGTCTTACATTCAGTTCATGTGCCCCCTTTCCACTGCTTGTTTTACAATGGATGAATTTTCTGCATGTTCTTTGCCTGCCCATTGCCAGGCTGGCTTTGAATATATTTCTATACATACATACATTTAGTAGTGCTCTAGACACCCATTCCATCTGTTTGGCTTATTGGGCTTATGACTATACCTGGCCCTGTTAGGTATGTTTAGGCAGATCATGATATGTTGTCAGATGAGGAATCCTGCAAAAGTTTTCTCTGTAACTCTGCAAGAATTGCTTATGTCTTCCCTGGTCAGTGATCTCCACACAACAGTGCCTGGGGTTTGGCCAAGGATTTGCAGGAAACTTGACTATTATTGGCAAGTGTCCCAGTGGTTGGCAAACTGAGATGGATTATCCCTACATGTGCCATACCTCTTACAGGTGATTGGTAAGCCCTTATCTTGGTTTTTATTTCTCATGTCAGAGTGTATTACTGTACGTGGATGCACGTTCTGCAGTAGGCAAGCATTTCCCTAGAACCATAAGTCAGTTCGAGGACTGTGTGTCATGCCCTTGATGAGCTTGCACTTTTTTCTGGGCATCTGAACATGCTTAGTTGAATCTTAAATGTATGGTCAGGTGCCTCCTTGCCTGGACCCATACAGGTTTTTCAATTTCAGTGGTGTGCTTCTCCCTGTATAAACAATCATAGCTACTGTACCTGAAGCCGAGCAGTGCAATACCTTCCCTTGGTCACATTGACTTCTGGGCCCAGTCATTGAAGGATCTGTCACTTGTTGCGATCTGTCGCTTGGAGCTTGTCTTACATTGCTTGTTCTGGTGCATTTGTCCTAGCAGGGTTACTCTGACCTCTCAGGCTGACAGAGGCTCATTCACTTCCCAGTGCATACTTTACTCAGAGTTATGTTCAGAGATTTGTTCATCAAACCTGACCTACACACCTACCAGCTACTCATTTAAATTCCACTTTTCCCTGGTTGGGCTATATTCTGTGGTCAGTCATTTGAGCTTTTCAGCCATTTATCAGCTACCTCATTCGAGTATGGTATTGATGGGATAGTTTCAAGTGGGCTTCCCAGGGCTCTGTTTCAGATTTCAAAAAGGCATAGTGGACCCCAGGAACTCACTGCTTACTCTTCCACCAACTGTTGTTTCAGATGGTGAATGGACTTGGGATTCTGCTGGTCTCCCAATAATAGCAAAAATGACAAGCAAGCTGTGACAGAGGGAGTCCTGTACTTTCCAAGATGTGTTTGCAGAGACTGAATCACAGTACATGAACCAGTCTCTTAAATATTTATTGAGAGACTTTACTGGTTTCTAGACTTAAAGGATTGGTCATATCTGCTCTTATAACTGTTTATGACATTTTTTAGAGAGTCTTCCTTGGGCCTCATTTGCAGAATTACAATTTTTATTTCAAAGAATACATCACACATATTATTATACAGTGGAACCTCAAAAATCGAACTTAATCCATTCCAGGAGCTAGTTCTAAATTCAAAAAGTCTGAAATTCGAAGCAATATTTCCCATAAGAAATAATGGAAATACAATTAATCCGTTCCAGAAACCCAAAAATATTCACACAAAAAATACATTTTATAGAGATTAATTACAGTTTTACATACAACAAATACTATAGTTTTTAATTATGTATAGTAATACATATAAAATAACATTTTTACTTACCTTTATTGAAGATTGGTGATGGCATCTGGAAGATAGGGAGGAGGAGAGAGGGAGTTGGGGTTAGTGTTTGGAAGGAGAATCCCCCTCCATGAGGACTTAAGGTAAAGCCCTCTCTGGGGTTAATTCCCTTCTCTGTCTTTTAATGCCACTAGGACCAGCTTGAGAGTCACTGGACCCTGTCTCACAAAATAACTGTCCACAGTCCTCTGTTTCTGGCACCTCTTTAACATTTCCCTAAAATGGGACATGGTTCTGTCACTGAACTTGTTGCAAAGATGGCTTGTTTCAGCTTGCTCAGGGTGGTACTTCTGCACAAACATTTGGACATCATTCCACTTGGCACAAATCTCCTTAATCTTTGAAGAAGGCACCTCATCCACTCCCTCTTCCTCCTCCTCTGAAGCAAGTTCCTCAGCTGTGGTCTGATACTGCTCCAGATGAAGCTCTTGCAGCTCTTCAGTGGTTAGCTCTTCCCTGTGGTCCTCCACCAACTCTTCCACATCCTCACCACTCACCTCCAATCCCAGGGTGTTCCCCAATGCCACAATAGAGTCCACAACAGGCAAAGGGTGAGCTGGGTAAGGGTCAGGGTCAGGGTCAGGGTCAGCCTCAAACCCTTCAAAATCCCTCTTTTGGACACAATCTGGCCACAATTGTCTCCAAGCAGAGTTCAAAGTCCTGGAAGTCATTCCTTCCCAAGCCTTACCTATACAGCTTATGGAGCTGTAAATGTTGAAGTGATTCCTCCAGAACTTTCTTAGGGTCAACTTAGCATCTGTGGTCACTTCAAAGCACTTTTCAAACACTGCTTTTGTGTAGAGTTTTTTGAAGTTAGAAATGACCTGCTGGTCCATGGGCTGGAGGAGAGGAGTGGTGTTAGGAGGCAAGAACTTCACTTTTATAAAACTGAAGTCCTTAGACAAGAGGTCTAATAAGTTTGGAGGATGAGCAGGAGCATTGTCCATTAACAGGAGGCACTTGAGTGGCAATTTCTTTTCTTGAAGGTATTTTTTCACACTGGGGCCAAACACTTCATGGACCCACTCTTTGAAAATTTGTCTTGTGACCCATGCCTTATGATTAGCTTTCCACAAGACAAGAGTAAGCCTGTCTTTCATAGGCTTGTGTCCTGGCAGTGCCTTTTCCTCCTGTGTGATGACGGTTCTTTTTGGCATTTTCTTCCAAAACAAGCCTGTTTCGTCACAATTAAACACTTGTTCAGGTTTCAATTCTTCACTGTCTATGTACCCCTTAAACTCCTGTACAAACTTCTCAGCCGCCCATTTGTCTGAACTGGCTGCCTCACCATGTCTTACAACATTGTGTGCCACTATGCTTCTTAAATCTGTCAAACCAGCCTCTGCTGGCCTTAAATTCACTATCAGCACTGGTTGCAGGAGTTTTCTGTACCAGATCGGCATGCAACTTCCTTGCCTTTTCGCAAATAATCGTCTCTGAAACACTATCACCTGCAATCTCTTTATCCTTAATCCACACCAGCAACAACTTCTCAACCTCTTCAACTATTTGTGGGTTTTTTTTGGTTAGCATATTAACACCTTTCGCAACATCAGCTTCCTTGATTTGTTCTTTCTTTGACAGGATAGAACCGATGGTCGACTAGTTTTTCCCATACATCCTGGCAAGCTCAACAAGTCTCACACCACTCTCATACTTCTGTATTATTTCCTTCTTCACATCTATGGTGTTTCTCACTTTCTTTACCACAGGGGTACCACTAGCAAGTTTCTTTGGGCCCATGGCAGCTTATTTCACAGTCCCACAAGCACTAAACACAACGAAATAATCGTAAAATGCGTGAATGAGAGCGCAGGTTAGTGTTCACTTAAGCATAAACAAAGCTAGACTGCTCACGGCGCCTGCGCGGGGACACGAACAGAGTGGGCCGGCAGACAGGTCCCGTACTCGGCGGTCCGAAAATAGGGGCGCGTTCAATAATAGGGACACAGTTTGTCCGAAAAAATGGTCCTATTTTCGAAACGTTTGATATGTGATACATTTGATTTTTGAGGTTCCACTGTATAGGAATTTTTTGTCTGTTTAATTATTATTGACTTTTCACAGTGTATTAATTTGCACATTGCATTGACAGCTGTTGCGGCGTTTAGTGGGAGGAGGCCTTACAGAGGAAAATGTCGACCAGTTATTGTTGATGCGTGATCATCTTACCAAACTTCAGAGGCAGAAGAAGGCAACAGAGGCAACTCGTAATGGGCCACAGCATCATCATCAACTGCCAGGACTGGTACATTCTGAGCTTTTACACTGATTCTCTTATTTGATCTTTGCAAAGTACAATAACAAACAACTCAGTTTGTCTTCATAATAATGTTTTTAGGTATTGGATAGTTTATTTTTTCCCATCAGTAGTTCTTCTTTCAGCTCACTGTTCATTTCCTACTGAGGCTGGGTGACCCAAAAAAGAAAGAAACACTTTAACCATCATTCACACATAATCACAGTCTTTGCAGAGGTGCACAAATATGACAGTTCAAATGTCACTCCAAACAGCAAATATCCCAAACCCCTCCTTTAAAGTGTAGGCATTGTACTTCCCACCTCCAAGACTCAAGTCTGGATAACTTGTTTCCCTGAATCCCTTCACAGAATATTACCCTGATCACACTCCAAAAGCTCAAGTCCCAGAAACCATTAGCCTGTACTATCTAACACACTCACACATGCCTCTTTACCCCCTCCCTCCAGCTTTTCCTAGGATGGCCCCTATCCCTCCTTCCCTCCACTACAGATTTATATGCCCTCCTATTATTATTGAGCCCATTGGTCTAAGCTGGGGTTGACATGGACCTGCCCCACATGGGCCAGTAGGCCTGCTGCAGTGTTCCTTCTTTCTTATGTTCTTACTAATTTTTTAACAATACTTTTAGTAACTCCACACCTCTTCCTACTTTCCACACTACAAATTCTCCACATAATATTTACAACAAACATTGACCTTAGACACATCTCCTTGCTGCAGCATTTACAACTTATTTTTCACACTCATATAAAAGTGTTGGATAATGTTCTTTGTGTCCATGATACCTCAATGCATCACCCACCTTTTTTCCTTCATCAGTTTTGTGGTGTACCTTGTCCTTCATAAACCCATCTGCCAACAAGTCTACTCCCAAATATCTGAACACATTCACTTTTTCCATACTTACTTTCTCCAATCTGATATCCAATTTTTCCTTATCTAAATAGTTTGATACCCTCATCACCTTACTCTTATCTGTGTTCACTTTCAACTTTCTTCCTTTACACACCCTAGGTAGTACTGCTGTCCTGCCAAATGAGTGTAAGATTGAAACCTGTATTTTGTTTAAATGATGGTAGGATTGCTGGTGTCGTTTCTTCTGTCTCATAAAGTAACAGGATAACAGGTATATCTTGTTACTTTTACTTACAATTAGGTCATACTACACATGCATGTACACATTTATGTATACACATAGTTTTTGTTCTTCCTTTCATCTCCATGGGAAAGGGGAATAAGAATCTTTCCTCTTTATGCCATGCATGTTGTAAAAGTCAACTAAAATGCTGGGAGCAGTAGGCTAGTAACCCCTCTTCCATAAAGCTTACTAAAAATAAAAAGAAAACCATCAGTAGTTTTTTTCCAGTAGTTATCAACTATTAATTCACTCTATTAATCCACCACATAGGCATATATCAGACAGGAATACCACACAGGCATATATCAGACAGGACTGCCATGCAGGCATATATCAGACAGGACTGCCATGCAGGCATATATCAGACAGGACTACCATGCAGGCATATATCAGACAGGACTGCCATGCAAGTATATAGGACGGCCATATAAGCATATATCAGACATTGGTAACATAATGTCTATTACAGTATGTGTACTGTATTTCTGCAGATTTTTATACTAAACATCCCTTCATGGAAGGTTCCTTGATGCTGGTGAGGGGTCTCTTGATCCAAGCAACTGGACTTGGTCTCCCTTTTCTTGTATTAAATCTGATTGCATCCCATTCTCCAGGTGCTCTGTGGCCCCTACAGGTTTACTGCCTCCTTGGTAATAATAATAGTAACAATAATAATTATAATACTATACCAAACATTATTGTATTGATAATTAAAAATTCAGTATTGCCCATTTCTTGACCCTTTCAGGGTCCAAACCCATAATCTAAAACTTGTCCACAGGTTCCTGGAATTTACAAAAAAAAAAAAAATAAAAAATCATGAAATAGTAGAGAATCTTTTTCTTTTGGTAATATAACAAAAATTACGAAATTTGATGGAAAACTGACAGAATTACGCTATCGCGAATTTTGCTGTTTCAGCTATATTTACACATCAGCAATTTTGCCCACTTTGAGTCCTATTTTACGCTAATTACATTGTTCTAGTTAAACAAATTCTTAGCTATTTTGATTGAGCACAAGAAACTGCCCAATAAATTATTTCATCTACCCAATAAAGTGATCAAAAATTGGTAATTTGGTCAATTTCACACAAATTTCAAAATATGCCAATCTCAAAATAGGGTCCAGAATAAACAATGCAGACATTTCTGGCACTAAACTAACATTTCCTCTGTTCATTAGTTATGTTCCCAGACTTTTATTCACTCAAAAAATAGAAGATTTACTGTTATGCTTTTTTGTAATAATTGTGTAAATGTCAGCACATTAGTGAACACATATTAGACTGACCAGTGGATATATATATTGGAGAGTTACGTGATATATTTACTCTGCTGTTTTCATTCCTTAAACCAATCAAAATCATTGCTATTTCTGTAATATTTCTTCCATTCTGTCAAATGAGACCAAGCAACCGAGAATACAACCATAAAAATCACATGAAAAAGCTCCGCAAATTCACTATTTTAAATCAAAAACACAGCCGCAGTTTTTTTCGTCATGCACTGCGTGCTGCAGGATGTTTTTTTTAACCCTTTGACTGTCGCAACTCCAAATCCTGAAGTGTCTCTTGGTGTTGAAAAATATTAAAAAAAAAAAATTATTTTTACTTATCAAAATGTTAAGATTAATTTTCTGATTGTCTTAAGCCCCCCAAAAATTTTTTGCAATCAGTGCTTACCGAGATGTAGAGAGGTAAAGTTGGCAGAAAATAAGCCGTGTATGGCAACAGCGGCGAATGCCGCTCACCTGGTAAACTTTGGTTTACTTGCATTCAAAAGTTTCTTCTTTTTTTTTTTTCACCATTTTATTTTTTCACATAACTTACATGGCCTGTGAGACCAAAGTATGGTGCAATGTTCATATATATATATATATTCATTTAATGTAACAAAATTATAGCAGAAACACTAGTGTCATCATATTGTTTACAAAACTTGTTTACACAAACAATATAAAAAAAATTTTATTACTATTCTTCTATAATATATATACATATGTACAATCACTGGACACTTTCCTAAAACTGCTGCAGCTTGTGGGATTCTTAAAAACATGAGTGTATGCACAGTACCTTTGATATACCTTTGAAGAGTTTTGAGAGTTTATCTACTCTCTGAGCCCGGCCTTGGGCCAGGCTCATCTGGTGCTTGCCTGGTCAACCAGGCTGTTGCTGCTAGAGGCCGACTGACATACATATCCATCACAGCCTGGTTGATCTGGCACTTGGTGAAGATACTTGTCCAGTTTCCTCTTGAATCCTTCTACACTGGTTCCAGCCGTGTTTCTGATATCTTCTGGTAAGATGTTGAATAGTCTGGGACGACCCCGGATCTTGATACAGTGTTCCCTTATTGTCCCCACCACACCCCTGCTCTTCACTGGGTTTATTTTACACTTCCTCCCATATCTCTCACTCCACAATGTTGTTAGGCAGTGTGCAGATTTGGGACCAAGCCCTTGAGTACCTTCCAGGTATATTTATTATCATGTACCTCTCACTCCTCCGCTCCAATGAATACATGTTCAAGACTTGCAGACGTTTCCAGTAGTTTAGGTGCTTTACAGGCTCAGTGTGAGCCGTAAACGATCTCTGTATTTGTTCCAGCTCCGATATTTCTCCTGCTTTGAACGGGGCCATCAGCACTGAGCAATATTCTAATTGAGGGATCACTAGCGATTTGAAGAGTGTCACCATCGACATTATTTCCCTTGTTTTGAAAGTTCTCAATACCCACCCTGTCATCTTCCTGGCTGTCATGAACTTTGTCTTGTTATGGTCTTTAAAAGAAAGGTCCGCTGACATAATTATTCCTTGGTCTTTTACGTGTTCCTTACGTTCTATTTGGTGACCCTCTTGAGTTTTGTATATAGTGCTCCTTTTGAGTTCTTCATTCTTTCCATGCCTAAGCAGGAAGACATAAACCCTGTTTATGTCTTCCTGTACTTTTTCAGTGTCTTCTACCATACTGACTTCATGCTTATTTTAGTGTCATCTGCAAATGATGATACAAAAGTGTGCCAGGTGTTTTTGTCTATGTCTGCTATGAGGATGGGAAATAGCAGAGGTGCCAGGACAGTGCCTTGGGGCACTGAGCTTTTGACCTCACTGATGCTGGATCTTGCCCTGTTCACAACTACTTTTTGTGTTCTGTGTGTTAGGAAACCGAAAATCCATCTGCCTACCTTCCCCATAATGCCCATATCCTTCATTTTGTGCGCTATCACTCCACAATTGCATTTGTCAAATGCCTTTGCAAAATCTGTGCAAATCACATCTTCGTTTTGGTCGTCTTCCAATCCTCCGTAATTCTGTCATAATGGTTCATCAGCTGTGACAGGCATGATCGTCCTGCTCTAAAACCATGCTGGTTCAGGTTATGTTGGTTGTGCTGGTCCATGAAATTTGTAATCTGCCGTCTCATCACTCTTTCGAAGATTTTTATGATGTGAGAGGTTAGGGCTACTGGTCTGTAATTTTTAGCTAGTGCTCTAATACCTCCCTTATGCAAAGGAGCTATGTCTGCACTCTTTAAGGCCTTCGGTATTTCACCTAGATCTAAGCTCTTTCTCCAAAGAGTACTGAAGGCTCGTGCTAGTAGTACTTTGCACTTCTTTATAAATAGAGCATTCCACGAATCTGGTCCAGGTGCTGGGTGGGCATGTTTTCAATTTCTTTTTCAAAATCTATGGGATTTGTACTAATGTCAGTTAGTTGGTCTGTGCAGCCTTCTTCTGGAGTGAAAAATATGTATTTATGTATGTGTTATGTACACTCCTCACACATAAAACGTGTGTCTCTGCGTTTTGTGGTATGTGCACAGACATAACACCTCTTCTGAGC